ATTTAAAAATGCGCTTACTTTTGAAATTATGTCAGATTTTAATGTTTTAACCAATGAGATGGATGGATTACACAATACAAAATTAGCACCTTCATGCATTCCATTGCCGTTTGCTTGCCTGCTTCTTACTCGGACCATTACTTAATGTRAAGCTTACAAAACGTGMCCYACWTTCGTGTYGTGAACGTGTTTTACYGTAATCGTGATCTTTCCTATAGCCAAAGTGCAAGGAAACCATTTTTTCGAGCAAGAATGTCGCGAAAATTTAATCTTCACCCATTTTTATTGCTATTGATATACTCCACAAAATCTGTTTTCGTATTTTCTTTGCAAACTTACAAGTAATTTTGCCGTTTCTGCGAAGGAAACACAAAAGTCTATTGGGGGACTTTAAGCGTGGATTTCACTAGCGCATAAGCATAGGCATAARCACGAAGCACGAGAGTCATATGCGCCAGTGAGAACGGGCTCAAAATAAGCATGAGCATGAGCACAAGAAAAACGAGCAAGGCTTGATCTTCTTGTGCTTATCTCATGCTTATCTCATGCTTATGTTCAGTGAGAACGGCACTGCATAGGCATAAGCATGGTAGATACTGAAATAATACGCTCGTGCGCATGCTCAATGTCTTATGCTTATGTCGAGCCCGTTCTCACTGGCGCATATGATTCTGCGCCAGTGAGAACGGGCTCRAWATAAGCATRAGCATGAGCACAAGAAAAACGAGCAAGGCTTGATCTTCTTGTGCTTATCTCATGCTTATCTCATGCTTATGTTCAGTGAGAACGGCACTGCATAGGCATAAGCATGGTAGATACTGAAATAATACGCTCGTGCGCATGCTCAATGTCTTATGCTTATGTCGAGCCCGTTCTCACTGGCGCATATGATTCTCATGCTTGTGCTTATGCTATGCTTATGCACTAGTGAAATCCACGCTTGATCACTGGCGCATATGATTCTCGTGCTTCGTGCTTATGCTATGCTAATGCGCTAGTGAAATCCACGCTTTAATTATCAGCAAATAAAAAAATGTGCGAGGGCTACATCCCCCATTGTGCTTTGCTATACCAAATGTCGTCGCTACACGTGAATAACGTCAACAACAGGCAAACAGGGTAATCGAACTTAACCTTTAATGAAGTTCTTTTTTTTGTAGAAGGACTTGAAACATCAACAATTCTCAATGGCAGACAAAACTACATAACCACCTTGAACAGCTACCTAGCTACTGCAGTACCGAACTCAAAGACGAGTGATTGGATAAGATGCTGGCATGCTGCAGAGGATGGATGGGATACTCGGTACTCCTTCCATCCACAGTGTGATGGCAAAAGAACCACTGTGACAATTATACGCGTAGGACAGCACGTGTTTGGTGGATTTGCTGATAAATCTTGGCAATCCAGTAAGTTTTTTATGTATTTTCAGTTCGAAATCACACTTAAATGAGACTCTCAGCGCCTCTTTAACCCGTGGGCTTGTTGGCCAACTAAAAAGTGCTGGTGTCAGTGTTTTAAAGTGACCGGGTCCACCAGCATTCAATGCGGTTGTGTTTTAGATTTTTCATATATGGAAAATGAGGTGGCTTCGATTATCCATTCGCAATTTTTCCATCAATCGGTTTAAGGTCGTATCTTACAGTATCTCCATTCATAGAGCATAAAGGGTAAGTCTTTGCTTATATTACGATGTATTTTTGTTTTCTCGAAAGGGATGCTGGTGGACCATGTTCCTTTAAGTTTCATAGTCAACCGACATTCAGTACGGGCACAACGCGATTGTGTTTGGTACTCTCAACAAAGCATGCTATTTGACCAATCACAGAAGGGGTTAGATGCATCAGTACTTGGGAGACAATCCGTCCGCCATCTTGAAAAGTGGGACTCCAATCACTAAAGTATAACTCCTAAAGGAATTAAAAGCTTCTCATGTAATGTCAAGTTAATATAATACGATTTCACGATAGATTAGTTGACTTAGCAACTGCGAAATGTGTTCTAAGCACAACATGGTGATTTGGGTCTCACTTTTCAAGATGGTAGACGCATTGGTCACAGTGATGCATGTATACTAATTATTTTAAAACTATGATAATTTTGTTTCATTCCCAGAACTTGATGTATATAAAGAATCAAGCAAATCCTTCATGTTTTCCTTGTACAACAACAATGGCTACCAACCAATACAATTAAAACTAACTGGTTTGAACAACGTGCACGCTTTGCGTCAAGTGCCCTCCTGGGGACCAACATTTGGAAGCGGATATGACATACACATCTCTAATCTTGCATCAACAAATGTATTATCTTACACAAAACCCAATACTTATGAATCACCTCCCGGTTGCAGCACTGGATTGTCATGTACTTTCCTGGCAGGCTCCTACACCTTCAAACCATCTGATATTGAAGTGTTCTACCACGATGGAGATATTCGTACGTTTTCCGAACTTAATTTGTGCTCAGAAATTACATTTAACAATTCGAAGTGAATTTCCTCATTACGCTCGTGGTTTCAATTTAAGTATTCCAACCAACCACAATGCAGCGCGCGCTCGTGTTTTTATTTACATACGGGATACCACCACTAACCACGTCAAGCATACAATAGATTACAGCGGTTGGTTGTGATTCCTTAAGTTTTGATCATCTCTTGAGCCATGTTCGAGGAGAATACATACCGTAGAAAATTCACTTCGAATTGTTGAATCAAGTGTAATTTRGTTAAGTCGAGCAGTACAATATTTGGAKCTTGGTCATTCGCTCGCTTAAAAAGCGAAGAAATTCCAGTACAATTTAGCGCTTAATTCTATTAGAGTGAAGTGAAATAGGCATTACACTAATACACCTTAGTACGCTCTTATAGAGTGGTTTTCATAAACCCGTGACAAAGTGTAATAATTAGAGTGTAATAGATCGTAATAGTCGCGTAGAGACAATAAAAAAAAAACAAAAGAGCCAAAGTGTAATAGCGATAAATACGCTAAAATGTGCTTCACGGGTTAATGAAAACCACTCTACACCAGTTTAAAATTCTCTTTTGTGTAAGTTTAGATTCAATCAAGCATTAATTGTTTATTGTCATCTTTTACAATAGGATCTCTGCTGAATAAAAAAAATATATTACATGCTTTCGAGGTTAACGATGCACAAATAAGATATCGAAACTAGAGTATTGCATTGTTTTCATTTTAGTTTTGTTTCGCTGGTTTATTGAGCTGACTCTAAACCCGTGAAACAAAACTTGACTATTGAAGTGTGATATTCAAATAGACATAAAGAAAACAATACAATGAGGGCGTACTAAGGCCGTATTAGTGTAATGTCTATTTCACCGCTTTTTTTGTCTTCATTAACTTTTAATCATTATAAAGTTATTGTTTTGTCCACAGGTGGTCTAGAAAACTCCTCCATCCTAAAGAATTATGGGAACACAAGCTATGTAACCACTCTAACCAGCTACCTTAACACTGTACAGGAATTCCAGGCGCAGAATTGGAGACGATGCTGGAGSGCCRCTGAAGAYGGCTGGGACACACGAATGACATTTCATCCYCAATGTGATGGGAAAAAACCAACGGTGACGATTGTCCGYGTCGCTTCGCATGTGTTTGGTGGATTCACAGACCAACCTTGGCATTCTGGTAAAGATTATTTATTCTTTTTCTCTCTGTCCTACCTCTTCTCTTAACATAGTTAATAGATGGGAATGGTTTGAAAACCTTCTGTTGTACATCTTTTGTACATCACTGGAGAAAATCACGCGCTTTAAAGGTTGTAAATTTGATGTAAATATGATGTAAGTGTCCAAAATTCTGTAAATTTAATGGAAATCATTTACATCAAATTTACAGAATTTTGGACATTTACATCATATTTACATCAAATTTACATTCTTTGAAGCGCGCGATTATTTCCAGTGGATCTTTTGTATGAATTTTGAGGTTGAATCAGTCAAGACCATGCACAACTTTATTCGTAAGGACGATGGAAATTGCAAAATGAGTGAATACAAACACTCTCTATAAAATTATGAAATATTCCAATATTGGCGAAAAATGTTTGTGCATTTTGAAGAAATAGTCAAAAGAATAATTTTCGCTCTGTTCATTTAGATGTGACCAGTATGGCTAAAACAATACTTAAACAAAAGATTGTACACTGTCGCACTTGGAAAAAAGTGCACAAAACCTACAACAGAAGGCTTCCTAACCATTTCCCTCTACAAACTATGCTCTAATTCAAATATCTTTTTTGACAACAGCTGGTGCTTACACCAAGTCAAACAAGTCTTTTGTATTTTCCTTGTACAACACCAATGGCTTCAAACCTGTCCAGTTAAACCTGACTGGCCAGTATAACCAGTTWRGTATATATAGTGCCAGCGCACAAGGTCCAACATTTGGAGGTGGAAATGATTTTTTTATTGGTAATTTAGCCTCAAGTAATACACATTCCTACACAAAGCCTTATTCATATGATGTCCCTAGCGGTTGTACATACAACGTGGCTGACTGTAAATTCTTTGCTGGGTCTTNCAGAAAGCAACGAAAGATCATTTGTAAAACAAAGCAAATGGATCTTTACGGTTGTTCTTTTTCTTCCAAAGCTGGTCTCGACCAGTCAGCAATTCTCCAAGGATATGGCAATACAACGTTACTTACAAGTGGTTTAGTAAAATTCGTGGAACCAGTGGTCGAATTGTCGGGGTCGAACAAGTGGCTGAGATGCTGGCATGCTCGCACAGATGGCTGGGATACAAGGCTGACCTTCCATCCTCAGTGCGATGGTTTGAAAAACACCCTCACAATAATCCGTGTTGGTTTGTACGTCTTTGGTGGATTTGCAGACAAAGCCTGGAATTCTGGTAGGTAACGTTGAAACCGTATTTCTTTGTTCTCCAGCCTGTTATAATACTCCATTTTCGAATTCAAAGCGAATAACCGCTGTTTTATTTGACAGCAGATTTTCTTACGCAAAGAATTTACCCCCCCCCCCCCCCCCGCCCCTCCTACAAAAAAGCACGAGAAAATGTTGTTAGTACAATAGCCCTAACAATTTACATTTTACCCGTCGAGTGGAGGCTTGAACCTTAGGACTTCTGGGAATACAGGGTTGGTCTCAACTCCTCAACTCGGGAAAAACGCAGATTTTCAAGGATATTGTAATAACGACATTTTCTCGTGCTCTCTTTTGTGTTTGTAATGTCTTTGCGCAAGAGAATCTGTTGTTGAATAAAACAGCGGATTCGCTATGGATTCGAAAATGGGGTATTATAACAGTTCGGAGAACAAAGACGTATGTGATTTTCAAAACATTAAAAAAAAGTTGGAAAGGGATGTCGGTAGACCGTGGAACGTTTATGCACTCGTACACCGGGATTAAACAGTTGTTCTTGCTGTCTACAGCTGGTATCTACATTACATCTAATAAAGCCTTCCTCTTCTCCTTGTACAACACGAATGGACATAAGCCAGTTAAATTCAAGCTTACCGGATCACGAAACCAGTACGCTGTACTCGGAAATGTTAACAATGGACCTATATTTGGCGATGGTCACGATCTATGCATCAGAAATCTTGCATCGAGCAATGAAAGTTCATACACGACGCCTCGTGTATACGAAGTTCCTCAAGGATGCAGTGCGTCGTCTGCTTGTACATTATTCGCTGGGAGCCACGTGTTTACCCCTGATGACATCGAAGTGTTTTACTATAACAGTCAAACCAGTGAGTATAGAGATTTTCAGTGTTGTCGTGTCGCGTGTCGCGTGTCGCGTTTAACATTCGCGCGGGCTAGCTGTGTGTTTTTTGTGGGATTCCTTATTTTCAAGGATGGGAGGGGACTAGCACAAAATTATAATGGCATGTTGAAAAGCAATTTCTCTGCAAATTCTGTAAGTTTTAGCCATTTAAAGCAATGAAAGGTGCATATCAAACAGTTGCTTCGGAGAAAAATTCATTCGTTTGCCAAATTTTTGCTGACCATATATGGTAATCTTACCTTATAAGGAAGTACGTTAGAAAGTTTTATTCAAGTTTTTTCCACCTTTTAGTGGACCACATTTTTCAATTACGTGTAAATCCGAGTCTGATGCRTGTACAATGGAATCTCTATAAAACGGACAGCCCCTATAATACGGCAACAATAAAATGTCAAAATTGCTGTGTTTGCTGACAATAGTTTCCTTCACGGTCCCCTGCGCCATCTTGAAAGGTAGCCGTGACTTTGCACCGAAGCGAGACGACCGTTGAGCGTGCAATGATAGATACCTGTGAATAATTGTCTATAGGTGTGAAAGAAGGTTTCTATCATTGCACGCTCAACGTTTGTCTCGCTTCGATGACAAGACACGGCTACCTTTCAAGATGGCGCAGGTAACCGTGAAGGAGACTATTGTTACCAACCTCTACAAAACGACAAGCTTGGAAAGCGAGCAGTTTGGAGAGATCCAAGGGTGGCCTCTGTACTGCTTGTGACTTTTTATTTGAGAGAAGAGAACGTTAGCTAGCTTCTTTACGGTCTATAAAACACTCTTGTGTTTAAGTCATACATAATTTTGATTTTCACGCCATTTTGAGGAATGTATCTGGTAATGTTACAATGCTTTTGCGAATTTTCGTAACACCGATGAACAAAACATCAGCTTATCGATTGATGATTTGATTGATAGCATCAGAGGTTGATTAATTTACTGATTTATTGATAACAGAAGGACTAGAGAACTCTACGATTTTGTCTGGCAACTTTAAATACATCAGTAAGCTGAACAGCTACTTAGGGACTGCAGTGCCGAACTCTAAGACGAGTGATTGGATAAGATGCTGGCACGCTCTAGAGGATGGCTGGGATACGCGA